GGTATGTTTGTAGCAATAGCCAAAAATACATTGTATGTGTCAAAATTATCGATTTTTCTTTTATGCCAAAAATCATTAGGATATTAAGTAAAGATCATGTTCCATGAAGATATTTTGTAAATTTCCTACTGTAAATATATTAAAACTTAATTTTTGATTAGTAATATGCATTGCTAAGAACTTAATTTGGACAACTTTAAAGATGATTTTCTCAATATTTTGATTTTTTTTTTTTTTGCACCCTCAGATTCCAGATTTTCTAAATATTGTCCTATCCTAACAAACCATACATCAATGGAAAGCTTATTTATTCAGCTTTCAGATGATGCATAAATCTCAATTTCAAACTGACCCTTATATATATGATCACATATTATCCTAAGATCCATTTGTTTAATAATTGTGCATGCATTTCTTAGTCTCTATGGTTAATATTAGTTTAATGTTTATAAATTTGATTTAAACTATGTTGTTGCTAGTTAGTTTTTTTTATTTCATGTTATTATAAATGTGATTATTTGATCTAATAACTGTTGTTGTATTATTTGTTGCATATTTGTATGTCTTGTGTTTAAACAAATTATTAAAAAGTATTGTTCTATTAAGTAATACTGTGGCAAGCCTGAAGTTATTTCAATTTCTTTTATTAATTGATTGCTTGATTGTTATTTCAACTTTTATTGCTTGATTGCTCACCAAGGCTGCATTTATTGTAAAATATTATTACAAATATTCATATATTTAAATATGTTTGCGTGTTATACTGTTCTCTATTTGAATAATTTGATCTGTTATTGAATTTACATATTGATAATATTTTGACAATAAAAGAAAACAATAAATCCTTAAAATGACCTTATGTTTGAAACTTGTGAAAGATTTCATATATGTAGATTCAATTTTTTTTTCTGTTGTGTTCTTAAATGTTTGATGTTTAGAGGACACTGGGACGTATTTCCCCAGTGTGAAGTGCTGTCCTGGCAGTTACCTGCAGCCCTGCTCAGATGCGGTGAAGAGATGGTTGAGGAGCATGAAGAACAGCGGGAAAATCCTGCTGCTCATCACCAGCTCACACTCGGACTACTGCCGCCTCGTGTGCGAGCACATACTCGGGTGAGTTTTACGTACGCCACAAATACACCATACACAAAAGAAATAAATGAATATTAAATATTGAAATGAGGAAAAAATGATGTTCTGTCAGGACAACTATCGTCAAAGATGATTGACAATTAGCATACAGTTTGGATTGGCGGTATGGTTCCGTTCTGGGCAAGAACTCCCTGCGCATCCATGCAGCCTAGCATGGATGAGAGCAGGGAGAGCAGCGATAACCCCCCCAGGGTAAACAGAACAGAACCAACATAAATGTATTGCAGATATCGTTAAAGTTCAATAATGTTATGTACACATTTTAGAATTAGTCTGATTCAAAGGATAATCAGAAGGCTGAATCCTGACTGACAGAGGGGGAGCTGGGGATGGAGGAGGGTAATTAGCTATTGAGCAATGCAAAACTGCTGATACTACTGCGGGACCTTATATATGAATACTTAGATAGGTGTCGTATTCCCATAGGTTGATGGGGATCAGCTGAGAGTCAGCTGATGCGAGCTTGACTAACGTGACCTGCCAGAACTAACGCTATGCTAGATTTTTATTAAATCAAGACTTTGCCAGAGTTATTAACAATATAAAACCTTTAGAATTCAAAGTCTTATTTACACAGTGAATAAGTCAAGTCACCTTTATTTATATAGTGCTTTTAACAATACAGATTGTGTCAAAGCAACTGTACAGCATTAATTAGGAAAATAGTGTGTCAATAATGCAAAGTGACAATAGTAAACACTCAATTTTCAGTTAAAGGCAGTTCATCATTGAATTCAGTGATGTCATCATCCAGCTCAGTTCAGTTTAAATAGTATCTGTGCAATCAAGTCAACGATATCGCTGGAAATGAAGTGTCCCCAACTAAGCAAGCCAGAGGCGACAGCGGCAAGGAACCAAAACAGAATGGAGAAAAAACCTTGGGAGAAACCAGGCTCAGTCGGGGGGCCAGTTCTCCTCTGGCCCAAGATCCAGTGTTTTGTTTGAATTAATTAAATCTAGTAAGAAACTCATATGCATAGTGAGGGGAACACAGTGGGAAATTACTTTTTTTATTTAGCATAGGATTCTGGGAAATGCAGAGAATTTTGGCATCCAAATATCTCCCTACAAATAATTTCTCATTTTTTGCAGAATGGACTTTGAGGAGCTGTTTGACATCATTATCACTAATGCTCTGAAGCCTGGATTCTTCTCTTTGGTTCCACAGCAGAGACCTTTCAGAACGCTTGGTGAGGAGCTAACAGATGTTTGCCAGGACTCTGAAATCGACTGCAGTGGTTATGCTGTGTGCTGTGAGGACAGTGCAGAAAGATGTTCTGTATTTATTGTCTTTGTATTATTATTCAGTCAATTCAGAACTATACATGCTGTAGAAAAGCCAAGTGTATTAAGTAATACTGTACAGAAGTATTATTTGTTATACTCATTATGTATAGATGCAGTTTATTTCATCGGTCTTAAAATATTACCCACTTTCTCATCTGGGTCTCAATAGTGAATGATGTTGAAGATAGTGAAGGGCTGCCGTCTCTGGAAAAGCCTGGTTGGTATTCTCAGGGCAACTGGCCTCATCTACATGAACTACTGAAGACCATGACCAACAAATCAGAGCCCAAGGTAGGACAGGACTGTTTCCTAGTCTTTGAATCTGACTGCAGATACTCCCTGTGTGTAATGCAAAGGTACAGAGGTATGACAGAAACAGGCTTGTGTGTATGGAGGCTCAGGCTTTACGGTTGCTGTAGCATTTTGAAACCTACTTGAAATCCTTCTGGGTGTTTAGATTTTCCCATGGGTATTTTTTTGGAGCTATATTTTGTTCAATAATTTCAATTCAAACTGGTCAATAATTTTTAGCTAATTTTTGTTATATTATTAACTTGTTACTAGGGCTGCATGATAAATATCGCACGATATTTAATGCGCATCTCGTCAGTAAAGCCGGTTCTGTAATCAGCGGTAAATCTCTACACGTGCGTGCTTTCACATGGAGCAGCATTTACTACACAGAGCCGTTGTTCACAGACAAGCTGCGCAAAACATGCGCAAAATATGATCGTGGTTTTGCGCAGCTTGTCTGTGAACAACGGCTCTGTGTAGTAAATGCTGCTCCATGTGAAAGAACGCACGTGTAGAGATTACAGAACCGACTTTACTGACGAGATGCGCATTAAATATCGTGCGATATTTATCGTGCAGCCCTACTTGTTACTTTCACTGTTCATTTTATTGCTCTATGGTATTTCATCTTTCATTTAACAACGCATTGGAGCTGCTCCATTGCAGCAGCTCAATACTGTAATCACAAGACGTTTTCCTTTAATAATGCAGGGAACCACTTGTTATACATAGATCTTGTAACAGAAATGGACATATTTTTCTGAAAAGTCCTGCAACTTATATTCCAAAGCGACTCATATAATGCAGTTAACATCAAGCAAGTGAAGCAAAACATGCGCAACAAGTGCACACATTTGTATCGGTGCAGAATGAGAGAGACACGTATAGCATAGCGCACTTCACAGAGGCTGCTAGTTTTATTTTTCGCTTTAAATAAAGTCATGTATGCGTGACGTTTAAAATAAATGTTGTTTATAGTGAATTCCCCTATCATTTTTGTTTGTTTTATATTTATGATTTAGTTTTAATCCAAATGATGAATTGCAGTGAAAGGCCCTGTTCTTCGGGGGTGTTCAAACAAAAGCAAGAGCACCCTCAGTTGAAGCTGTAATAATAATATTACATATTTGGCAAACAATCTGGGGCCTATTTGTGTTTGCGCTCTGGAGTATGTCAAAAGTTTCCCTTTACAACATGTTTTTGCAGCAGTGAGCAATGTAGCCAATCAGAACATTCTTGAACGCAATGGTCAATCAGAGGCATTTTTGTTAGAATCCACTCACTGCTCGCAAAGCTGGAGATTTGTCCAGCGCTAAATTCTGCATGCTTGCGAATCATCTCATTATTACAAAGTGTAGACGTGATGTAAAAAGAGATTCATTGTGCAGTGTAGCGCTTCATTGATTATAACAGAACTTTGTGAGATTGCAATGAACTAAGATAAGTGACTGCTTTTTAGTGAGTATAAAGGGAGCGCTCTTTTCGCTATAGTAATGAATGGCACAAAATATATGTGAAGCTATATATTTTGATATAATATTATACATAAATCTAGTGTATGTGATGTGGTTGTATATGATTTGGCAATATGGGAGAGCCTATATGGGCCGTTCTACAGAATTGGTCCAAAGTCAGAGTTGGAAACGTCTTGAAAAAAAATTATTTTTTTCCAAAAAAATTGTATGTATGCAAATTGTATAATATCTAAGGTACACATTTCTAGTAATTGTGCAGTTAATTCTCATATTGTACTTTCAGAAAGTTTTGGAATATTTGTCCTCTCCCCAAATTTGTCACTACCGAAACACAGTAATCATAATTTAATTAGAAGGGTTATATTGACATATTAAGATTTTGCTTACATCTACATTGTAAATATATATTTTTTGCTATTTTATAAAAAAAATTGTCAGAGGTAAATCAATAGCAGTTAAATTTTTAACAATATTTCAAGTGTAATTTATGAGATTTGTTGTATTTTGAATCCAATTTTTCTTCGTAAAAGGCAAAAAGGTGATCATACTGATTTCAAAGTTAAGGATTCATTAGTTTGAATATGCATTGAACCAAAAACAATCATAACATCTTAGTTGATAATTCAGTATACTTTATTTTTGACAAAACATCCCATGTTTCGGTCGTGACTGCACATTTTCGGTAGTGACAGTAATGCTTTGGTAGTGATCACATCACATTACAGAATTTTAACTTGCATACTAAAACACTACTAAAACATACTAAAATACAAAACAATTGCATAACTACTAAAGTTTTGTTTATTTCCCCCAAATATGAGGATTATGTGTTTCCTTTTGTCACTACCGAAACAATGGTGACATGTTTCGGTCGTGACTGTTTCGGAAGTGACAATTTTATGGCATAACACCCAAAAAAAAAAAAAAAGAAGTAACTACCGAAACTCCACCAA